ACTCTCTCTACTCTCTCTCTCTCTCTCTCTCTCTCTCTCTCTCTCTCTCTCTCTCTCTCTCTCTCTCTCTTTCTCTCTGACTTTAAATTAGTCTAGTCTTCTCTCATGAGAACACACGGTAAGACTTTATATGTCAGTGCCATTGTTCGTGTGAAGATCATCGCCGTCATTTTGGCCGATCATCGATATATCATCATCGTTATTTCTCATCAACGTTCATTTGCGTTGGACATCGTGGGCGGAATCGCGTTGTTGCAGATGTTTTCCGTTTTTTTTTTTTTTATTTTTTTATAATAGATTACGAATCGCAGCTGAAATTTTTGAATAAATAAATTTCTACTTTATTTTTTCACTCAATAAACAATCATATTTTAGATTCAAAATGTAAGAGAGTCGATATTGTCGTCAATCTGAAAAGTTTCGAGCCATCACGTGATTATATCAATACAATTAAATTCGATTCCTCATTCAGTGTATATAATACCGTGTTAAAGAAACCGAAGCTAATATCATTATTCAAGTATCTATCCTTAAAAATACATGATAAAAATGCGAAAAATGCTTGAAAAATGATTTGTGTTAGCTTAAGCTAGATCAAACTCTGAGTGCACGCGAGAGATTGATCGATTCGTTCACACAAGTAATGTTTCGCATATGTCTCTTCGCAGTTGTTCGACGATGAAACGAAGGACATTCGCGCAAAAGTGGATTCTCTTCTTCGACGTGTCCATGTGTTCGTGCCAAGGGCAATGGCAAGGTATCCGACGGAAGCAAAATGGTGTGCAACTAATTATGTTGATTGTATTAATCAAAGTCTAGCGTTAATAGAATCATTTGAGCCGATTTTTTAATCGCTAGAAAAAAAGCAAATATCCAACTTCCTATGCTAAATAAAATAATTGACACCCTGGCGTGAGAATAATCAAAATATTTCCGTAATTCGAAAATAGTACATTTAAAGAAGGAATAAAACTCAGGAATATCCCTCTGATTTCCGACGATTTATTCTCCCCTCAAATATTGAAATAGCGCTTTCGTCGCTTTTTGTGATAAGATCAGTCAACGAGCTCCTTACGATTTCCAGCGACTTCCTGGAGGCGATCGTGCCGGAACGAATGCGCAGTCACGATTACGTCCGCCGATTACTGACCGGCCGCAAAAACGCGAAGAGGGAGCTGGACTACGTGAGCTGGTACGATGTGCCCGATCGGGGCAATTTCGGCACCCTGGCGTGTATCAAGTACGTCGCCGGCACACCGCAATTCGTCAGGAAGCCATACTTCAAGGTTGCGGACCTTCGGCCGGCTGACATCCGCAACGACGTCAACTTCCTCAGCTACTACAGCAAGAACCGTCAGGCGGCCGCGACTGCCTGTGAGTAATCCGTCACGCTGACGAGGACGACGATGACGACGACAAGACAACGACGAAGACGGGGGACCGTCGTGTCGCGACTCAGCATTTCAGCCTCAAAGAGATTATTCTTTGAGAACGAAACGCTATTCGGGAACGGTCCCGTCTTGACGATATTACACACACGATGATCCCTACATGAAGCACGTAGTTAGAGGCACCAGATCGACGAGAGCGAAGCGAAGAATTTCTAAAAAGCATCATTTCATACGATAATTTCAATTTTTATTTATAATCGTGACTTTTTTTCATCTAAAATTTTATATTTAATTTTTTAATGACACATCAAAATTCATAACGAAATGTAATTCTGAGATGATATTTTGTAATTATATCTTAATAAAGCATAAATCCATTTTGATATTTTCGAAGGAAAATCGGAATAATTATTTTTGCAGAATTTCATATTACTTCCAGAGGGATGTTATAATCAAAGGAAGCAAAAGCTCCATGAAATAACAGCTACGCTCCGTTTCTCGTCGGTCTGAAACATGATTTTTGAATAGATTTGAGAAAATAAAAAACGGCCCCACGACGCCGTTGTGTGCAACTCTCTTTTTGTCTACTTTTTTTTTCTCGTTCCACCGCCCTCGCCCCCACCGCCCTCTCGTTTCTCTATTTTTTTTTCATCCCTTTTCTTGGATTGGCTGGCACCTCTGGTTTACACTGTCTGAAAACTTTTGTTTGTGCTAGCGAGCACGTGTGTTTCTCTGGTATTTTTGTTGTTTTATTGTTGGTCACACAACAATTGATCTTTCTTTTTGTACGTCTTTTTTTGTCGTGGCTGCATTACTTGTTCGATAGTATTGTGTCTAATCGTACAACAGCAACGTACACTTACCCCATACGTATCCCGCATCCGTTTTTGATAACCACCACGTCATGCGATATTCGATATCGTGACACAATCGGTTTTTTATTATTATTATTATTATTATTATAATTCTAAAAAAAAAGACATACGATTGAATTGATCTTCGATAAGAGTATTATAAATATTAATTTCTATTTCTATTTGCTGAATATTCTCTTTTTCCACGCAAACTCTGACAAAATATAAAAAAAAATATAAATGAACTGTAATATTTTCATATTTGGTGTAAAATTTTATTGGAAAAAGAAATATAATTTTGTTTCTGTTTATTTATAAAAATCTAATCGTATCTAATTACATACGCTCTTTTTTGGAACGATCGATTCAATCATCGGCTATATCGATCAGATCCATCGATCCATCGATTTGGCGGCGGTTCGCATCTTTTTTACGAACCAACTTGTCGCCATTTTTTATTGCGGTAATCGGAAAACACAGCGGAAAAACGATACCATAGTGACCATAAAGAAAAGTCATGAGCCAAATCAAAAGAAACGAAGGAACGAGAGAGAGCAAGACATTTACACGACGGCGAACTCCAGGCGGAACACCAGGCGACTGGGATCACGCGCCAAAAGCAGAATTTTGCGGCGCTCGCGGATAAGAGCGAAAATGGCAGAGAGAGGAAGCAGTGCGGCTTTTTTGAACGTTTCAGGCAAGGGTTGGAGAGAGAAGGTGCCGGAGCTGTACGAGAAGCCGAGCAAGAAGAACGAAGAGGCGGAAGAGGCGGAGGAGACGGAGGCCGCCGCCGAGGAATGACTTTGAGACTTCGTCGATCGTCATCATACGAACTGTGGCTGATACCGTCCACTTTTGCGTTCCGGAAGTGGCGCGAAAAGATATATTACGATATAAAGCATCGTGCGACACGCGGAAGCTGCAGGATTGCAAACCGAAAGCTAATTCTTTATCTCCTTTTCATGACAAGAAAAATTTTCGTCACAAGAAAAATTTTTTTTTTTTCAATTTTTTTTTTAGGCGAGTCTTACATCAGATTGAGATTTGAGTTATTAAAATATATAAAAATGGAAATTATATAGATAATATATAGCGCTCGACCATTCGTATTGAGAACGGTTTCTAAATTAGCGAAAGAATCTGTAGAAAAGTATAGAATAGAAAATTTTGTCCCAGAACGAAACTTATATGAATAGGAATACGATCTCATGTAGGTCATGTAGATTATTGAATTGAATTGTATAAATTTTCATTTTAAGAATAAAATTTCATTCTATAAAATAAAATTATTGCAAGAACTGTACAAAAAGTACGCTAAATTTTCCGCCACAGATGAAATAATTCTATTCAAATTTAATATCAATCAGCATTTCATTTTCGTTCTTAATTTTATTACGGCTATTGTGAGAGACAGAAAGAGAATTTGCACAGTTCAGTTTTAAAATTTTATCTCTTTCGGTGTTTTAAATACAGTTTTATATTCGGTTCGCAAGCCTGGCAAAAATCCTCTTCGAACGGAATTATTTTACTGCGCGCGGCTAACGGGGATAGTCATGATCGAAAAAATCTAATATCCGTCTCTACTTTTTTTATTTTTCCTTTCTTCTATTCCGGTCGTGCGCTTCGTCGACCGCTTCATTAAAGTCCAATGTGCCGATATTCGCAATAATCATAGAACGTGCTGTATTTTCCGAACATTCTTCATGCGATTTTTACTCGATGGACTCTAATGAAATTGCGACGGGCATGTAAAATTGTCGTGACCACCGAAACAATCGCACTCGACCGATTGCGATCTACGGATACAAATAACGAGAGTGCGAAAAAGAGACGGGAAAAAATGGAACCGATTAAATTGATGCAATAAAAAATACCGCGTGTTCATTAAAAAAAAAGAAAAAAAACACAGATAAAAATGTAGACACTAATACGACGTTGCACATATTGCATCGTGATGTTCGTTACTGTTTCGATTTTGTAAATCCCGTTTTGTTCGTGCTTGTGAGACAGCAAAAAAAGAAAAACGTATGAATAAAATAATAATATCTGATGGAAGCGAGAGTCCCCAAGTCAATTACTTTACCTTGCACAAGAGAGAAAAATGGAAACGTAGACGAGCTACGTAACGAATAAATGCACTGTTTTCGAGGTAAGCTTCTTCGTGTGCTTCGTAGTTTAACCAACGACGTCTCATTTTGCCTCTGAAATCCACTGTTTCTGGAATCAATTAAGATTAACGCTCCTGAAAGAAAATTAATTATTCTAAATTGATTCGGTACTTTAAGAGAATATTTTCGTAAAAAATAAATTTCTTTAAACATGGAAGTATTCGAATTCTAATGGAGGCTATTTTAATTAAAATACATTTAATGTTAATTTGATCTGATTTGATTTTTAAGCTTCTTTTTTTCGAACATACAATTTGATGAATATAATTTAATGATATAAATTTATATTAGAGATATATATATATACCGAAAAAGATTGAAACATAGAAAATTACTTAACTATATAATCTGACTGTGAAATTGGATCGTAAGTATCTGGTTTCAGAGACAAAAATCCGACAAATCTATCGCTAGATATGACCGAGTGTGATCTCTAATTGGACGTCACGTTAATCGAATCGTGACGATCAGTAAATCATCTTCATAAGAAAAAACGAGGATTGTGATCTCTCATTAATTGCCGACTCATTGGTAAGACATCGATGTATGCGATAATCTTGCGTCATCAAAAATGAGCTCAATGATTCATTCTTAATCTTCAGATCATTCGTTAATGGCTAATATTATTAAATTTCTTTCTCTTTTTATTCATTTGTCGCATATCGCCGTATGTGTATATAAAACCATGTACATTTTTCCTACATGAGCTGTAATTAATTAATGAGCTTGCCCCATCAACTGCACTTCATATTGATGTTGTATGTAATCATTGTAATCGCTTTCTAATATCACGTTCTTTTGCGAAGCCTTTATCGCTTCCTTGGATTTATTGGCGTGCGCTTCAAAAGAATCCTTTGTCGCTAATCGATCCTTTATGTTTCATGTACCCCACAGCCTCCGGTCAACCAATGACAGAACGAGAGATGCGAAAGGGTCAGTAGGCACACACGAAGTAATCCTTTTTGCAATAATAAAAGAATACAATGCAGTAGAACTTTGACATTAGCGGACAGTTGCAATCGTGGGGACATTTTTTACAGAAGAATAAACTTCATGTCATATGAGGGAAAGAGAATCACATAAATGTTATAATAATCACAATTCATGCATTAAAACTTAGTATAACATAAAAATATTCATATTCAAATTTTAATTCTCATTATGTTTTTCCATTTGAGTAACGTTCTACTGTACCCCTTCCTCTTTGTCTTTTACATCTAACGTCTTCTCACAATTTCTAGTACGCGCATTAGGCGGCGATTCAACGGCCCGAGAAAAAAAAGTAAGTCTCCATATAAAATGGAAGAATTCACATAAATACCCTTGTGTCACTTGTCCGTTCATGTCCATCCTGTACACGTCCATAGCTTCCGCTCCGGAATCGGAAGAAAAAGAGAAGAAAGCGAAGAAGAAGCCGGAGAGAGAGCCGGAACCGGAGCCCGAGCCGGTAAGAGAACCTGAACCGGTGCCCGAACCGGTACCCGAACCTGCGAAAGAACCGGAACCGGTTACGGAACCTGCAAAACCGTCAAAGCCGGCGAAGGGGACGAAAGCTGCGAGATCGGCAAAATCTGCGAAAATGGCCGAACCGAAGGCGGAACCTGCACCGGAACCAGAACCCGTAAAAGAGCCAGAGCCTGAGCCGGTGCCGGAACCAGAACCGGTAAAAGAACCGGAGCCTGTTTCAGAGCCGGAACCGATAGCAGAATCAGAGCCGGAAGCACCGGTTGCAGAGGAGGCGCAACCGACCGAAAGTGCGGAGGCCGTAAGTGACGAAGCTAAGGAGGAAGAGCAAGAAAAGGGTATGTTGATATCGATCTCGATCGATACTGCGGGCCGGAAGTATTTCATTTCGGCGGCCGGAAACGAGCCTGTCACGCGAATGGCGAACACCTTTTGGTATCGGTTAGGGGTAGGCGGAGGATCGATCGTTGGCTTGTGTCGTTGTTAACAGCATCTCTCCTATCGATCGCACGAGGATGAATGTGTCTAGTCTAGATAGTGTCTAGTCCAGTGTCTCTCTCTCGCTCGTTTTCGTGATAAATGTCTTCCTCGTAAAAATGGCGTCGAGATTACCTCGCGAAATACCTCGTGTTTTTGTGACCTTCCTAAAATTATTTTACGTAAGATAACGTCTCGATATTACATAAGTAAATTTAGTTGCGGTGGAAATAAACGTCTGCCTTCACGACGCATTTCTAGCAGACTTTTTAATTAATTCTAATAAGGAAATTCTATTTAAGAACTTGAATTTATGGCATTAATTTGAATTCATATTAAATAAAGACTAGAGTATTAATATAAATATTAATATTAACAGTATCTGAGTATAATTATCCAAGTTTTTAATTAATAAAATGATTAAATTAACATTAATTTTTTATTCAATACTTGGATATTCGTCGAAAGTTACGTTTAATTCTATGTTAAGAAACTACAATCGGTAAATGTAGAGTGAATAAGATGTCGGTGTCACTTGGGCATGCGTCGTGAATTTTCAATTATCGAGATTCTAATTGAATTATGTTGCAGTGAAGCAAGATAGAGAAGATGCCATAAAGAGGGCCGAGGCGTATCTTGCCAAAGCGGCTCGGGAAGCGCAGTAAGTGATTTTAACGGCAATACGTGCCAATAGAATACGCCATGAATAAACTAATCACGCAAAATCATTCGATATATGAACATGATTCGTTTTGCATAATATATTAAATTCAGATAATTTGCTACAAATAAATAATTTGCTACGATTCGCGACATTAATCGACTTGCCACACAGTAAAAAACGTTTTGTATTTGTGTTAAAATCGGTCCTTGTTAAAATTTTTGTGTTAAATAACCTACATATTTATATGTAAATTTAACACATGTCTACTATGTTAACTGACCTTAACAAATATAAAATGTAAAATTATTAAAATGATTTAAGAAATGTGTTAAAATAACACAATTCGTACATATTTATTCAATATGTTAAAATTTACACACAAAAAATGGTTGGTTTTACTCTATAACAGGAGTGGGGATGACTTATTATTATTCTTTGTGTGGTTTCGGCACAGTCTTGAATTTTGACGCGTCTCGACATGTTATTTTATCATAAAAATTATGTTAATTGTAATACACAATTAACTTCAAATTAAGATCAAGAGTATATTTCTTTTTTGTTGAAATATTAACATAATGTCGATGTTACTATTTAACACATCCATATTATGTTAAATTAACACAAAATTTTGAGTTTGGGACATGCGATTTATGTTAAATTCAACACATTTTTTCCAACAGATTCCTGACTTTCATACATAAAACATCACTTGATTCGAAAGCACACTCGATAATCAATCATTATAATATAAAATAATAATCATAATTATAAAATAATAAATATAAAATAATAATTAAAAAATAATAAAATAATAAAATTATTTCATACATTGTGCAATAATATCAATTGTTTTATAATTGAAAATTGATAGTAATATTAGTATAACGATAATTCTAAACGCAACAAGAAAATTTTATAAATTTTTAACAATAAATTTTCCACGAATCGCACGTGGAAAATATTCGCATTCACGTGGCTTATCGTTTTATCTTGCGAGATATGCGAGAAACGCTCATCGAAAAATCTGGAATGTCGGTTTCATTAAAAAAACTTGATAGATAGCTTTTTCTACATGCGGGTTTTCCTAATTACTAGTTCTCTGAATATTATAATTCGTGGTTTTGTTATATATTATTTTCGTATCTCATATAAAGTTCATATCAAAGCTTCGTCGCGCATCGCGTGAATTTAAGATGGAAAATTCAAATGTTCATGATGGATCAGGAATAAAATTGCGGATTTAAGGCTTATAAATTAACATTTTTTTATGCAAAATTTATACAAAAGGTTTATATAAATTGATCCTTAACAACAGATACCAAAGTGGATATAAAAGCATTTCTAATTTCCCTTTACCATTTTCAATTCATTTAGATTTCAAAGTTTTATAAAACTCTTTGTAAACAGTTTTTATTTCTGTTTACGTTCTATTTCGACGCTCTCGCCTGCTTGTCGCGTCCAAGCAATTTCATCAATTGCACATAACTTTGTTTCAAAGATCGGACGAGGAGAGGCAGAAGGCTGCGGAGGAGGAACGGCTGCAGCTCGAGATGGAAGAAAAGAAAGCGTGGGAGGCACTGCAACTTGCGCAGGAACGGAAAGCTGAGCTTTCTCACATACTGGAAATCGAGCAGCAGGAAGCCGAAAGGAAGGCGGAAGAGGCAAAACTACAAGCTGAACGTGAGGAAATAGAGAAAATAGAAGAGAAAGAAAGGTAAGCTCGTTACTTAGAAAAAAGTCTCCCGTAATGATTCAAATAAATCGCTTTTGACGCTTCGATATACAAAGCAAATTTTTTAAATAACTGTCAATTAAGGATAATTAAAAAACGAAAAAACTAAATATAATATTTATATATAATCAATAAATAATAATTAATATGTAAAAATTAAAATTATACAGTTTTCAGTTAAAATTATTACAGAATAAAAAAATTTTAAAAAACATCCACATAAGTATTAATATAATTTATGAATAAAAATAAATAATATTAATATTAATATATATTATATTTATTCGGGAATTAATATTTATATCGCATTTTTAGATTGCGTTTTTTGCACATTGCCAATATCTAAATCATTCATTTTCTATTGATTATGACAGATTAATTAACCAGGCAAAGCTCGACGCTCTTGTACAGGAGCAAGAACGACTGATAGTTGAGGAACAACTTGAAGAGATTCAAAATCGAAAGCAGGAACAGGAAGAGGCAGATGTCGCACAGCTTGCAGCTAATGAAAATAAAGACGTCAGTTCCGCCGAGGATCCGGCGGATCTTGGCGAAATAACCGATCAGGAAAAGGAAGAGAAACCTTGCGATGTTACCACGGATGACGAAACACGAGTATGGAATTAGATAGTAGAAAATGTTCTCTTCGTATACTTAATAATTTTATGTTCAAATGTTTTATCGAATTTCCACTGAGAAAGGATCTTCGGTCTGGACTCGTTTAAGAGCCAATAGAGTCGAAGAGAGACTTCTCTATACCGCTGAACGAATTGAATCACAAGGAATTCGCCTTTCAGGTTGAAGAAGAGAATGTTCACGAAGAGGAGCAATTGGAAACGACCGAAGCTCCGTTCGTCGAGGAGCCACAAGGAGCCGAAAGCAAGCCACAAACGGGGCTGACGGCGGCTGAAGATGGACCGCAGATCGAGGAGGTTACTTCCGGCGAGGAATTTGAATGGGGTGATCAAGACTGGTAATCAAGTCGGTCTGACCGTCGGTTCGGACCGTTTCGCGGCATCGATGGACCAGGTTCCTTCATCGTCATCGTTAACGCTAGGATTTAATGCTGAGCTTCGTCTATCATCTTGTCCGCGAAATGTCATTTAGTCAGTTATCATCACGGATGATCAGTGAGACGTCGATCGGTGACACGACGAGGAAATTTGAATTTTCTTTTCATTAATCCAATTTCCCTATTTATTTATTTATTTATTTATTTAGTTAAAATGCACACGAAGTGTGCATTTCAGTATCACGTTTTCCATCAGCGCACATTTCCATCACGCAGTCAATTTCACGCGTCACATTGTATATTGTATCCGTATATTAGCGCAGCAAACTCGCGCGGATCGATGCAAGTTAAAAAACTGTGGAATTTCGGATAGCTATATCTTCCCGCTAGCTAATCTAAGAAAAACCGATTGGAGATCTCCGCCCGCGATCTCCCGCGATCCGCGCGTATTTATTTCATTATTGACCGCGCGCACCCCTTTCACATTATATCCCATGCTGAGAGAGCGGCAACCCGTAGATCGAGTCCAACCCGAGTATCGATTTCCGTTGGTCTGCCGGTAGTGGTGATTCGTTTATAGCCTCGGATAGTAATCGGGTAGAAATATCGCGACATATTTTAGCCGTTCATTCGACAGTCGTGCAGTCGAGCTGGCTTCGTCGTTGTCGTCGTCGTCTATTTTTACAGTAACAGCAACTTCGAGTTTCAAGCCATGAAATTGGTTTGACTACGATTGTCCGAGCGATCGATCGGATGATGGACGAAGATTCCGGAAATAATCGCGAGCACGATTTGAAGAATTAGCGGCCATCTCACGACGACACATCGCTCGGAAAGTGGCAGTCTTTTAGCACTCTATTTATGTTAGTATTATTTATTATTAAAAAAAAGATGCTATATATATTATAAGAGTGTGGTAATAATAAGGATCCAATAATAAGGAGTCTCTTTTCACCTTGAAAACGAAGAGAGAGTGGAAAAGCTCGTCTTTTCCATAAGAAGCGTCACGAAAAGAAAAAAATTGCAAAGCAGCTCGCTAAATGAAAATGAAACGGTCATTAGTACAATTTTTTAAGTATTTAAATCCGACGTACAAATTTGTAATGTTTTATAAAATTTCATTGCGGCTGGCGTAATAAAGCAAAATTGATACAAATATTTATGGTATGCAAAACATGCTTATTATTATCTTTCTTTTCGCTACGATGCAAGATTAAAATTAAACGTAAAGAAATTTGCAATCTGTGAGGTAATCAACATTGTGTGCTGTACATGAATAAAACAGGAAGGTACTTAAACAAAATATTTAATGAATAACAAATTTATATCCATATTCTATATTTATATGTTCCTGTATTTAATGCGCATTGAAATTCAACGTAGCACGCAATGTATATTCACGCAACACCTATTTTCTTTGATGATTCGAGATAATAAATGTTATAAACGTTAATATTAAGCTATATATTTATTTTATCCCACATCGCATATTTAATATAAAGAAATATCATAAAAAAATAAAACCTTAATACTCTATCAACGTGATTTATTTTAATAATTTTAATAATCGTTTATCGATTATTTCCAAAGGGAGATGTAGGTAGATTTGCCATTATAATTTGCGACTATAATTCGAAATTAGTAGACATTTAGCAAGAGACAACATTTCTAAAGTAGCAAAAAGATCTCTTCTCGGATATACGCCGATTCATCCAAGTTAATATCCTCCTGAGACATCTTGCAATCATTCACCCGACAAATCTCCGCCATCGACCCGGGGCATCTCGCGAGGAAAAGACACGCTCGGAAGTAGTAAATCCCGGCTCGTAAACCTATCGTCGTGTCAGACGCGTCGCATTTTCGCGGCGTATATTTCCCGCGGTGTAAACACGCTTTGGTCGCGCTGGTCGGGGAGCGATCAACTGAAGTGGGCCGAACCGCGCTTGACTCAAAGGGAGAGCCCCGACGGGCGCGGCTTCAAAGCAAAAACGAGGTTGGATATGTGTGCCAATGCGCCTGTCCAACGTTAAGCCCAAACATCGAACGCCGTGGCGTCTACGCTGTCATCGCGCAAAACCGCACCGGTAATATTGCGGTTCTTACGTGTCGACCGATTCTGCGTGTGCGTGCGTGCGTGCGTG